AGAACGGGTTCGAAATTAATTACCGTTTTATGGCCTCATCACATTTCGTCTTGTTCCATTACCGAAATCTCTTCGACATTGGAAGTTTTCTCTTGGCGTAATTAAAATTACAAGTGCACAATGGGCGTTAGTTAAAGAGCAATAAAAGCGGCGGTTTCCGGGAACGGCCGGAGGAGCGTGTAATACTGAGATAGATAGGCGGTTGATTCAGAACAAGTGCGGTGATAAACGTGGATGCTGAGACCGCAACGGCGGCTGAAGACTGATGTTTGTTGTTGGATCCGTGATTTATAACGACCACCGCCGCAAACAATGCCAGCTCAAGTGAACCCCGCAACCCTCCATCAGCATCAATATAAAGTACAAACCGCGACGCCCCAACACGTAAATCACATGGAAAACTGCTACAAATATGTAAACGGCCTAGGAGCCACCCGGAGAAGGCATTAATGGCTCGTTTTCAGATAATATCACGTACGCCAGCTTAATACTAAAAGCTCCACTAATTAACCATTTTATTACCAACAGAGGCCCCCTCTAGAGGTCCAAGCAAACACACTACACCACTCCTTTACTTTAAAATGTCACTGACAAATTGCGACAGCTTACAAGATGCCTAAAGTAACCTACTTTTGACAGTTCATACCAAAAGAACTTTACTAATTAACCACTTTGTAACAGACAAATTTAAATGACATAAGACGAACCCACACAAACTTTTCATTAGAAAGTCGGAAAACAAGTTTTTATGATTTGAATATGGGACCAGTGACATATCGTGACAAACTACATTCGTGTTTCATAAATCTCACCGTTGCATTTTCAACAAGAACTGATATTACAAAGTGAATTAATTAGGAAAAACAACAGGATTTGATTTGTTATTTAGTCATTCTTACTATTTTTTTTACTACTTTTTCTGCACAGCTTCCGTCCCTTTCGCCGCTAGTGCAATTTTTATAATCAGGAAATCCATCAAGTATGGATGATAAATAGCAGATTAAATTTTTTATTTGAAATCTTAATTTCTTCTGGAAAAATACTGTCTCTGATCCATCCGATCCATAAAAAAACATTTTTTTGTTTAGAATCTTTCTGCTTCAATCAAAAACGAAAATCTCACGTTAAGTCAGAAACATTTGTTGCTTGACTATATTTAAGTTAAGAAAACATTGAGTATGTAATTTTTATACCTTTTTTTTGTTAAAAATAATTTTTCGCTCATTATTCTTTGAACAAAGGTGGGCTAAACGTAACTCGGATTAATGTTACATAGTTTCTGTATAAGCTGTCAGATCATAAAAGCTAAAGCTCTCCGAATTAGCTAACCATTTCAGAAAGCGGCACAGTCCAGCCTTAACCCCAAAGAATCGTTAGGCCTCGAGGGTTTAATCTTCCACAATTACAATCGAAATAGCGCGGCCGATTCGTGAATATTTAAATCGAAACACCAACGCAAAGCTAGAATGCGTAACGAAGTCAAACCTAAAATTAACCCACCTAAACAAAAACATAAAAACCGTAGCCAGAATATAGATAGACGACTGTAATCTTAACGAGACGCATTTTTATTGGAATAAACACACAATTAGTAGACAGTAAAGTGGTAGGTCATTAATTCTAAAATTCCGTAATTAAACTGTAAGAGGGTATTCGCGTTCAAGACTTTCGTAGTCGGAACGATAATGGAAAGGCGAGCCGATGGCTGCCTGACTCGGTCAGACATTATTGATGAGCTATGATGGAGTGTGCAGTGTGAATAATTAATGTCTGCAGTTTACACGTAACATGACAATATCCAAACTGATAAACACAATATCTAAATAAAATGATTTAATTGCTCAAAACCTTGTCTGGGTCAAACAGAGTGAAGAGTGGCCGCTATCTTATCACTAATGACTCAATTTGACCCAAGAATAATTGTCATGATAAAGAAACAAAAGACAGTTGAAGAAAAAATTGCGAAGAATTACAGCTCTTATTCTTTTACGAGCATTTTATGGTTGTATCAGTTCCAAAAGCTTTTTTTCACCTTAATGTTACCTTAACCGTATTATGCGTTTTGGTCTTAGTAAATCTCGAGAAAAAGTTATAAATTAGTTTGGTAATAGACCCCAAACGAGACTATTTTTATGATAAGTAAAAGAGAGCCTTCAACTGTTGTGTGAATGTATCATATTAATACCAACAACAGTTAAACACGAATTGCACTGGTGAAATAATGCAATTACAAATGGCATATAATATGCCTCTTGCACATTACATTTAACCGTCATACTTTAAATTACGAAGTCGGCGTTCCGGACCGTAATTCCAAATCACCCCTCGTGTAATAACAATTGTTGCCAGTCCAATTGTTTAATAGTAATACAACACTTTTGCTCCATTCTAGGCATCCCCCACAATTTGCGACATTGTTACAATAAGTCGACGACTCCGTCTTAGCAACCCTTCCACGTCTTGACTAATTAAAGAGGTTTTTTCAAGACACTGCTAATGTCTGAAATAACGTCGCGGAAAAATCTTCAGTTCTTCTGCCAAGTCAAATAAGACATCCGTCGCTCCTCTCAGGACGTCCTCTATTTTTGGAAATTACATTTCCGTTCGGCAAAAATCAATCAGAATCAAACTGATTGCCAAAGAGTAGAATTTCAGCTATGCATTCTGTGCACTTCCAAATCACACTCTGGCAAATTCACTTGGCACGTTCATCCTTTTGAAGTTACCTCCGACGAAATAATTGCAAGAGTTTATGCGGTGTAATTACGCGATTCTCTGAATTGTTTAGTTGCTCTGCTTCTCAATTAAGTAAAAATGCTCTTTTATCAGATTTGTTAAACGTTTGTACGTGATAAGCTAAGCATTCGGTGGAGTAATTAAAAACGTTTTGTTGCTTGTTCCTGTTACTGATAATATTTATTTTGAGTTCCCCTCTGACTCTCGACCCTTGGTGTGAAAATAACGAAACAAATTACCACAAATATTTCACATTAAAAATTGTGCACAGTTCCTTATCATAATAAATCCTCAAACCGTGCGTGCTTTCAGACTTCGCATGTAAAGAAATGACCCAATTCGTGCTCTTATTAGAAATAATTTTTTCCGTTTTAATAGCGTAGAGACTAAAAAATCCACCACCGGAATTACACTTAATAGAGCTTTCATAGAAAACTTCCAAGTCGGATTTGAGCTTTTGCTCAGTCGGAATGACTTTACAAATGGTCTCATTTATAAAGGACTCTGCCAAGATCCAGTAATTGAATATATGTCACTAGTACTCCTGGCAAGCTCCCGACCAGCCTAAGAGATCTAATGACTAGATCCTGCGCCAAAGAGCTACTAAATTGTGATTCTATATCGGAAATTGGCGCATTGCAGCGGACATTAACCAGTATTTGTGCAGACTACTCCACTTCATTTTAAGGACAACACTATTTTATTTATAAACGCCCAATTACAGGTATAAAAATTACTACTTGGTGAAGTGTACGAGTATGAGAACTTGCAACTGTTGTAGTCGAACACAAATTGAAAAGCTCATTTATTTATAGCGCGCTTTTCATGACGATCATCAGTCAATTATCTACAAAGTACACTGGAATTTGTGAGAGCGTTAAATCTTTCAATGAGGTTGATTATTCAACAGTTAAAATTTTGAAAAAGGGTAATAAAATGTTTCAAGTAGATATTTTGTGGGAAAGAAGTTTAAAGAGCGCCCTGTGCGTATTATAATTTAATTGACATGAGAATGCTTTATGGCAACTGCTTTGTTCTAATAATCAGTGGCATACCTGATCATAATTACATATTGGCAACGCTGACATGCAATTACTTTTGTCGATAATTAACGGTCAGTGTAGCAAAGGTTGGTTTACTTCCTACAATTATTATTCCAGGAGGATAAAATTATCCCATTATTGGAATATTTAAACAGTAGCAAAATATGTAACTCGAAACAGTCTTTCGTTTACTAAGTAGCTTAACTAGTTTTATCGAGTAATTAAGTGGCATTAGTTTGGTTGTTTACTAAAGCAATTATGTCAGAAAGTTTCTATAATAATTTTTAAACCGCGCTTAAGGAGAGGATTCAAAGTTATTGAAGTAGTGGTGAATGAAAAGTTTATTCGAGTAAAATTAGGAGGGAAATAAGTCAACTCATAACTATGCACCCTGAATGTAGATAAATATTTAAGAACGTTATGAATCAACGGTAAAATGTAAGTTTTAAAGAAAGACACAATTTGACAAGCAATTTGTGTCTGTAAAATCCGGAATACAAGTGAATATAATTTGAAAAATTGCCTGGATAAAGAAAAAAGCTCGATGATGGATGCAGAGGTGTCTTTATTGATAATTAATTACGAGCGTCGCGTTAATGAAATTTTTTATATAATGGAAGGGTTGTCGAGGGTCGCACCGGAAAAAACTCCTTGAAGCTAGTTCCAAATCGATGTCAATCTGACAAAAGGGCCCCAATTATTCACACAATTGCAATTACGAAGCTGGAAAATAAATTAAACACACACAAGCCTCGTTTTATGAAAGGAGTAAATTTTGGTGTGCTGTCAGTGAGTTTTGGCACGAAGCCAATCGCTCCTCTCTGATATGAACTAGAAATCGATTTCGTCCAAAGCGAAGTAAAAGCTACCCCCGCGTTACTGGCGAAGTTTAAAAGCCCGACCTGGAAAAATAGTATTAGGGCCGAAAAGTATTCACGAATAGCCGGAAGGACGTCGAAAAGTTAAAACGGACAGGAAGTTGTGTTGACACAGGACCGACTCCTGCACGTTTACATTTGTGTAATTTGCCTTAATCGTCCTGGCTTCCTAACCGCATTCGGCCAAATTTATAAACAGGAGGAAACTGTCGACTTTGGCGTGATATTCGAGGAAATTGAAACAGCGAACACCGCTGATAATTGAGATGAGTTTTTGAACGGTTCGCACGCGATGTAATTAAACGGAATACATCGGCACGTGATTCTAAATGTGGAAACTCACCAGCCACGGTGGTAAATTTTTTAGCCGCTGAAGTCACGACACTCTAGTGTCGATTCCTCGCCGACTTGAGTTCCATCGGAAAAGCCACCAAAACAGAAAAACAAAAAGACACAGTCACCAAGTCACAGAGAAACAGAAAACGAAACTGAAACACACCGAGTTGTCGTCGCGCCAAAGCGCGACTTTGTTGATAAAAAGCGCGACCGCTGAGGCAATGCTTTGTTTATGTGGGAGTAGATGTTTGGCGACGAAACCGCTTTCCAAGACAGCTCGTAACGTACTGTCAAACGATGAACGAGCGGATCGGAGCAGAGCAGGCCCACCGGGTCGATGCGCGGTCTTCTAGTCCTGCGCCTGGAGCGTCGCCCCTGGCGGTGGCCGTCGACACTAGATAGGATAACGGCGTCGAAAGTCACATCTCCGACGCAGGACCCATCCATCTGCGACATGTATAATGCAAAAGAATAAAACATTCATTTAAATAATTAAAAAGTACACAGCAGGTAAACGAACCGGGCTTGATTCACAGATGTTGGAGCTTTCCTGATGTTAAAAGATAACTTTAAACTTTTGGAGTTTGTATGTAAATTAAAACCTCATCCCCGGTGGAGCTACATGCAAGTCGGCTGCCTGAAATATGAAATTATAGAACCAACTTAAATAAAAACAAGCCAACTTCCGAACAACTCCTCGAATCCTTCCTCCAGTTATATACGAATTAATTGGTCGGCGGAATGCGGACTCATATTTTCGAACTTCATTAATTACTGACTTGAGCTGAGTTCGACCAAAAACCGCTTCCCAGGCACAAGCCAAGAATTGTTGAGGTGAGTGAGAAAAACCGACACGAAACTTCACTGACAATATTAAAACTTATACAACGTTCACTCTAACATTCCTCTAAAAACCTTAAAGCTATCTGATCACCATTTACACACTCCACTTTAAAATATCAATCAAATAGTTATTCAAAAACTGAAAGTGAAATATCTGTTTAAATTTGCAAAATTTCAAGACATTAATTTCTAAAGTAGTTACAATAAAACACCATATACTTTTTTTGGAAATACAATCATCTTTTCTAATTATAACAGTCAACATAGAACTGTAAAATCTATTTTATTCCTACACGGACACCAAAACCTTAATAACACCAATATTTATAATGTTGACAACGTTGCTTCCTCTTTCACACATTTTTGAATTTTGAGTGTGATTCCTTAATTCCAAAATTTTGTCTTCAAAGCTTATAATTTTTAAAATAACACGTCGTAGCTACGAATAAATATTTATTGTCTTTATTAGGAGAAATCATTTTAAGATATGATCTCTTTTCCTCAATTTGTTGCACCTGATCCAGCGATGGTCTAAAAATAAAAAAATGTATAATAATCCCTACCCTTGCCGAAATCACGTAGCCATTTGACTATTGAACTTTGTCAAATCGTGAGACAAGGGTCAAAATTGTCCACGCATGTGTGCCGAAAGGTATTTTATCCCTTGTTAGCGTCCTCCCGTTGAAATTAGAGGACAATTCAGAATTCCCTTATAACAAAGCGTATATGAGTCTCGTCGAAGCAGTGCGCTGATTACTATTCGCACCATTTCGTCCGAGAGAGATGTACATAAATACCAGAATAAGTGCGCCAAGACGCTCTTATTATATTCTCCCTTCACGTTAATTGAGATGTATTATATGAGGGAATTTTTGCGATGAATTCTTGGGTAATGTAATAATTTGCGTGCCCTCCGTCGACTTATTCATTCTGTATGACCGTCATAAAATTTTACAGCGTGATTCGACATCGCTACAGCAGGTGTGGACGATTGCACATTCTTCTCACTCGACACCTGACTTCTGTGCATAATAAGGGACGACTTTAAATGCCACCCGTGCTTGTGATCGTAATTTATCGTTGCGTTAATGAATTTTCACGCAGCGGTGCGTCACGCTTCTTAACATTCGAAAAAATCGAAAGGAATTCCTGAGATAATTTGTCCCTTGTACTAAACCTCGCTAAAACACGGCAAAAAAACAAGCAAAAATTCTAATCACTTACACCGTGTTCTAACAAACCAATAAAAAAAATGAAATAATGTAAAATTCTAAATGTAGCTGGAAGAAACTGTTTGTAATTATTTTATGTGCTATCGTTTGGGTTGATATTTGTATTTAATAACAGGCTGAAAAGCGCCTTGAACTTCGTCCCTGCGTTGGCACGATTTGCTTATTGTCTTAAATCCGGTAGGATTTGAGCAGCGGGGCTTTTCAGCTGCATAAATCCGGGCTAACTTGTGGCGTCCGAACCGGAATCTATTTTCTATCAGCGCGATACTTGATATCGAATTTAATTACATAGTAGATTAGCACGTATAACCTATAACAGGCTTACGTGATTGTTGGTTGGGTGTGTATGTTGAGGGTAAAACGGCACCAGTCGCCCCCATGTCGGCGAACAGGGGTTAACATTCTGTTAGACAGTAATGAATAGCCTCGGCCTGATGAGCTCAAATCTAGCAGGCGACGCAAAACGGTGCACATTAATCAGTATAGCCTTGGCTGGATCTCTCTCATGACCTAAAGCTCGACTCTCCCGGACTCACTACCGACACATAAATAAAGCGCAACGAATAATTTTCAAATTACTCGAAATGTCCAGTGCTACTAGATACCTTACCTTCCAAATCTATTGAATGTTATTATAATTTTAACATGTTGTTATATACCAGGTGAATAAAAAGTATGGAACCAAACGTTTTTTGCTTAAACTATTTATTTTTTGAAAAAACTAATTGATGAGTGATAAAGTACTATAAAAATGTGATGATTTAACAAGAATAAAAATTTTCGAAATTTGCTTTTGATTTTGAGTTCTACAAAAAAAAAAATATTTTTTTAAATGGCAACCCACTATAAAATCATTTTTCTCATAAAATACTCTAAGGATTACAACTACCTGCTTTATATTTAATTTTTTCAAAAAAATTTTTTCACATAAATTGCAATTTTGACAAAAAAAATCGCATAACTCAAAAACAAAACAAAATTTTGTTCTGAAAATACGATCAGATTTTTTATATTACTTTAATTTATATTAATTATTATTTTCTGGAGGCAAATGATTAGAAATAAAACCGCTTGGTTCCATACTTTATATTCAGCCTGTATATAATTATATGATAAATAAATAATATCTCCCAATTAACTAACTAGCTATATCTAATAGTGTTGTTATTAAAGAAACCCTAGAAAGCTTTTTACAAAACTGTAATAGCTATCCGATGGAATCAGTACAACCACTTGCGTATAAAATTATAATTTCATTTCAGTTTGGTGCCAGAAACGTTTCCATTTAAAGTGTTAAAATAGAATTTTGTTATGATATGCACTCTTAAAGCAGTTTCTTCTTTAACATATTTGAATATTTGACGAAAATTTTATTTCAGTTACGTTTGACTAAAAATAAGTTTATGAAACTTTCACAGTCAAAGTGTTTATGACAGCCGGATGCTCGAGTTAAAAATGACCGTATCACTGACCACAAACCAAGGGTGGAACAATTTATATCTCGAGGAGAGAAACAAAATGAATTCAGAGGGTCATTCTTTGTCAGTTCGGGATTAGCACATTTGTTATTTTGGCAACTGCAATTAGATTTCAGATTTGTGATGCAAATTCTTTATTGTTGGAAAAGTTCTCACGAGATGTAGAATGATTCATTTACCGCTATGACACCTGTTCGGTTTTTTAATTAATCATTTGACAATTTTTCAGTCTAATTCTTATATAGAAAAACATGTAATGTAAAAAGTCGCAATTTTTTCTGGTAGATGGAATTTCAAGTGAAGCCGATGTAGGTGTATGTATATATATATACATACTAGTATAAGACAATAATACATAAACCAGTGCAAATAACTACTTTTACGATTGATCTAGTTATAATAAGACACATTAACGGTTTATAAATAGAATTTTTTTAAATAGTACCTACATGTTTAAATGCTTAGCTTTAAAGAAGATTAAGGGTTAATCATTAATCTCAGTTTTTCATAATATGTTATTTTAAAAAATAGAATTTACAAGTAAAACGGTTAATTATTGGAAGCTTCCATGCACCTATTTTGACGTTTTGGCACATTTGGCCTACTTAATACGAACATTCATTGAAATCGGAAATGTATTGCTTTTTTTAAAGGTTTATATCTCTTATGTCTCAAGAATTAAAATTATGGAAAATGTGGTACATAATTCAGTAAAGAATGGGCAACAATTTTGAAATCAGTAAAAACTTAAGTTTGTCTCTGTCGCAGACCACAGCTCAATATAAAAATTAGTAAAAATCAGTGCTTTCGTCTTTTGAGTTTTTTCTTTAAGCCAAACAAAAATTTGTCGAAATTCGACAAAAAATAACAAAAATATTGCAATTTCAAAAATCGCAAAATTTTAGTTGTCTGGTTAATTTTAGCGGCCAGGTAATAACGTTTTTTATTTTTAATATAAATAAATATATTTTTTGCAACACTAATATCTTCTACTCGTACTGTTTCATGTTGCCGTTAAAACATGCTTCAACTAGGTACAGTGATGGACAGTGAATTTCGTCCACCCAATTTCTGTGAATTCAAAAAAATTCACTGTAGTATGTGCTTTATTGTCATGATAACTTACATTCAAATACGTATTGTCAAATTTAATCAAATTCGAATATGCCAGCAGTAAGTGCGTTTAATAAAATAAAAATTATCTCTCTATTACAAGAAGGTATGCCTCAAAGTGTTTTTATTTTCGAAATTCGATAACGGGAAAGTAATCAAAACGCGAAGTTTGTGTCGTTTTTGAGCGCCGCATTTTTTGCCCTACCTTTGTTGCAGCTGTGAGGGAGGTAATGTTTGGAAGCAAGCACTACCCAAAAATACGGTATTTAAGGCAAACTCTTATACCAAATTTCCTGAGGTCGGTTTACATAATTTTATCACAAACGAATATTTGATTTTGATTTTTAAACTGTCTAAAATTTAAGTTGTCTTAATAGCTATACATTGTGTTTTCATGCTTTGTTTTATTTTTCAAGTTTGCCTAAATACGTTACTGTAATTTTGCATTTCAAATGTTTTTATGTTTACCTATTTAACTATTGTTACACTACTTACTTATCTCAGGTATCATTTATATTTTTTTATGTTAGCTGAAATAAACATTTTAACACAATCCAGATTCGAACCGAATTCTCCCAACCTGCTGGTCAGGTATTTTGCACAG